TTTGATAAAGCTATTTGAATTTTTAAAATTTCATTCTTAAATGGAAGCGAATCGAGAAGTGAAGAATAAAATATAGTGAAAATGGATGCATTTCATATTTACGGTTCCATTCCATTCTTATTACATTTTGAAATAAAAGCATCGTGGAGTGGAGTGGAATGCTTTCAGAAGTTCAAAATTTAATTTCAAATTTTTAAATTTCTGAGTTCATAACAATAAACCTTGAATGCAAAGGCGGTCCATTATACGGCGTCAGAACCATTATGCCACCAAGTGGAATAGTTCGATAAATGCGATGTGGATTTACACCTATTCAAATAAAATTTCAAAATTCTAGTTTCACATCAAAAAAGAAATTCCAAACTTAAAATTTTAATTTAATGCAACATTTAGCTCCTTAATAAGAATTTCTAATTCTTTCGCATATTCAGCACCGCTCGCATGGATCTGTTTGATAGAATTCTTAACAAATAACATCATTTGCTACCTTCATTATATTCATTGTACATATTAATGGCACCACCGGAAAGAATCCAGTAGTGTCTAAGACGTCGTTCAGGTTGATCAAGCATGAAATGGATCATCCATCCTTCTACTGTTGGTTGTCGATTTGTAACTCGTGTTGATGCTTGTCCTTCAAATTCAAAATTGATACCATTTTAGATTGTTAACCATCAACGTATACGTGAAATAAGAACTGGAAAAGCCAGAAACCTGGCAACCGAGCAAGCGGTATCATCGAATCGGTCTCTTCCTGTGCCGCAGCTTCATCATACGCAGTCGAAAGCAACGACGTATCATCGTCAACACTTAGCTGATCGAACGAAGGTGTTATAGCACCGTCTGCTATCTGACAATTCATAGGTAACAGTGAAGCGCACTTCCTATGGACGTTAACCTGAAAGAGTGCCGCATGGTAACCACCTGTTCACAGCAAATTTTCCAAAACATTTAAATTTGGAGCAATCAGCGGATGAATGCTGCTTAGCTAATTGAAACTTGTGTTGTGGAACCTTGCAATCACGGCAACGCAATCCTTGTTTCATTAGACCAATTAACATTTTGTCACACACTTTGCAAATAGTGAGCGTCTTGTAATTATGTACAGCCAATGTGTGCGGCAAGGCAAATGCGGCATCTTGCTGGCATCGAAGATCATCTACAAGTATAGCAATTAATTTAAATAATTAATTATGATTTGGTTATCACGTAAGCTGCTTACGTACGTTCCAAATAGAATGAAATCAGTTGTTCATACTTTCGTCAAAAAAGAAAAGTAAAGAATACAAATACCTGTAGAAGCAGTACTTGGAAGAACCGTAGTTAGGCTATTTTTGGCACAATTATTCCTTGGCGCAAATGCACATTTTTTATGAAAATTACATCTACAAAAATATTGAACTTTATTTTTAAATGCAAATTGAAAAACGCCAATATTTAACAGTAAATGAAATATTTGAAAGAAAAAAAGTATTTCTGGAAATGGAAAACTCGGATATACTAAAACTAATAGGAATTTGATACCGGCATTTGGCGCACTGCAAACCCTGCTTGATTAAGCCAACCAGAATCTCACCACAATAATCACAAAATGTCGGAGTCATATATGACGTAACAGCGAGCACGTGAGGACGTGTTGGTCGTTCGTTACGATCTATCAAAATTATCTCCACGATGCAACCATTATCCTCAAATTGTCTTCTTCAATTCTCATCAAACTAATCACCGAAACCTCAAGTACATGTGTTGCCCGGAACTTATGCGCAAACGGTCACAACAAATGCGGAAATGGAATACCAGCTGGGTAACAGAAGCCAAATGCTGAAGCATATTTGGCGAGTTATAATCATGTCTGAATAAGTGTAGTTCACAACCGTTCGTTAATTTACCATCGTAATGCTTTTCAGCTATTTGTCTGGCACGTTCACAGAGCAGTTCAAATTGCTAAAATGAAATAATTTAAATTGAATTTAAATTATTATTATTATTAGAATTTATGTATGAAAGAATCACTTCGCTCAACTTTGAAGGATGTCGAGATCAAGCTAAGTTACCAAATGGAGACGGACTGAAGGCTTATCTCTCAAATAAGCTTTACTTATCACCAGTGTCTACCAAAAGTTTCGTAGAGAATCTCCAGAAACACCTGGATATCTCGGAGCATCAGCACATCAGACACACACTTCAGTATACTTTCCGCTCCTCTAATACAGCATTAAATGCACCTAATAAAATGAACCGATATTGACCTGCGGATTATCGGATCGCTCAAGGACTAATACTTCCTTCAGTGAGCCGTACTGAAGTGTTATCGATATCCTTCGATCTTCCCAGGTATCCATTGCTGTCACATCATCATTGTTACCGTTAATTCCGGAATTGTTATTCAGCATTGAGTTATTATCAGCGTAAAAGAGAAAGTGAAGGAATTCAGGAATTGTCCATCAGAATGATGGAGCTTGCAATCATCGTCCTGAAACACATCAGGATTTCCGGAATCACAGTCAAAAGAAGGGGATCAAAGCAATTGCAGTGTATTGCGAAGCTTTTAAATGAGAGGAAACTTCAAAATACTTCGTCGATTACTTTGAAATGCTTCTGAAAGTACGTAACAAATTTCTGCTCGGATCAACACAAGCCAGCATTTACCGGACTAGCCTGAATACACACTCCGACATATTATTCCGGAACTATTCACACTACAGTCAAATCATTTCTATGTAGTTACCACTTTTCCCAGTTGGATAATAATTTACAAAAACAAGAAGGAAGAGTTAAACTTCGTCGTTTTGGTTCGTTTAAACCGAAATTCGAGTGAAAGATAAACAGAAGTGAAAAGCAACAATAGGGATAAGTGGCTGTGATGCATCTCTGATGAGATGGACAAAGGTAGAAGATGGACGTATGAGTTGCGCAGCGGTTGCAGACGGTACCGCTGCAGTCGAGAAATGCTGGTTGACTCGAAGACTGCAGCAGCTGGCAAACAATTTCAGTAGAGGGTCCATCGCCGAGACAGAACTGGTTTCTCCTTCAATTCTTTAATATTGTCGCCTTTGTACCACATGCCAAACTGTAATGTAGTCATCGATTAGACAGATGTCCCTGTATCGCTGTTGTTTCACTATTTATCATTATTATCATTTGTTTATTCATCTACTTATTATTATTATTATTATTGGTATTTATTATTATTATTTATTGCTATTATTATTAATTAAATATTGCTGGTAATTTGATGGTGATGATAATGAATACTGCTGTTCCATTTTAATGCAAACAGCGACAAAATTGGAATTTTACAAGAAGAGAACGATTGAAGACATTTCTTCAAATTGGCCAATTTTACTCATATAGCAATAATCAGTCAATCTAATTAAACGATTCGAAATTAGTAATTTGAAAACGGTCACAGGTGAATAACTTACGTGGGTATCGATTAACCAACAAATGGCTTTCCCAGTTTACCTACCTTAAATTCTGATAATATGCATTGTCAGATACATCGATCCGATGAGATAGTTGAAATAGACTAGTTAGAATGATTGAATTTCACTTCTAAACTAGATAAAATTTACAAAAGTTTTTGAGAAAAATCATTTAAAAAATAGTTTGATGAATGTGTTATTTGCAATTAAATGCTTTGACAAAGTATAAATGGAACAGAAAAGGTAAATTTGACAAAAGATGGATGAATTCCATCTCTCATTTCCCAATCAATTCAGCAAAACTTTTTTTAGGTACTTATTTAATGCACAATCATTACAATGCACACAGTGTTGTTTCAGTTTTAAAAAAAAATTTTATGAAATAAACTGCTTGCATTAGGCCCGAAATTCTTTAAGCTATTCCTTAAATTACTGAAATAGAAAATAAACGAGAAATGAATCAAAATGGTTTTTCTTTGCATTGCCTTTCAGTTTATCTGGTACAGCCTGCTTGGCCTTCATGGTACAGCTTGCTTGGCCTTCATGGTACAGCTTGCTTGGCCTTCATGGTACAGCCTGCTTGGCCTTCATGCATGATTGACTTTTATTCAAAACACTCCTCAGTAATACTAAATAATTTCACCAACTCAGCCAACGGTCACTCTTGAGACAACGATCGAATTTGACGTAGAGAAAAGTTACTGTCTTATGTTGCATACCTTTCCACTACAGTATCCCAAGGTGCATGAACACAGATTTATTTGACAGACTGATAAATGCAGCGGTGGATTACAAGGATCGATCGAACTGTCCTGAAAGAGAGAGCACTGTGATCTTTGTGCCTTACCTGTAAACACATAAACAAAAGTTCGGTCAGCTGTTGACAGCAACAGAAACACTCTGAAATATCAGTGAACTGATCGACAGAGGGACAAACCGTTTGTTCGCGACAACACAGATATATCGTTGTGTCCTCTTATCAGTACTCTCCAATGAATGAAAAATGATGTTAGTGATAATTTCAATCTTTGGAATGTAAAGAATTTTTAAATAAAATTCTAAATTCTGCTGTAAGTTTCTGTTAATAATGTAAATTGTCATTAATAGAAAATGAGAATAAATAGTTGGAAATACTAAAAAGTCCAAAATGCTTGGGAAGGTATCGGATAACTACAACTGTAAGGTAAATTGGGGGATTTTACCCTAAGCAACGGCTAAAATATCTAACAGTCACGTAAGTGTCTCAGTGGAGGGACAATAAATATACGTAAGCAAGAGACAGTGAGTCATTTCCAAATAAATAAATGATAAATTGTGCACGAGATTTGAGTCATAGCAAAATTAAACTTAAACTGTTGAAAAAAAAAGCAAAATTAAACTATTAAACAGCATGTTGACCTAGGAATGAGATCAATCGAATATCGATTAGATTATAAGATTATCAATCGAATATCGATTAAACTCGAAGATTATTAATCGATCAGCGATGTTTGTTTGCCCTTACACTCTGTATTTCTGGAAGTGCTTGTGCAGTTGAACACGTGTACCAACCATGTCAAAGAGCAAAAACGGGGATGCCCGAGGTGAGGTTCGAACTCACGACCTTCAGATTATGAGACTGACGCGCTAACCAACTGCGCTACTCAGGCCACACTACACTCCGCTAAATAACTCTTCGAGAGTCATAGATGGGACATTAGCGCTAATAAAATGTTACATTTGCATAATTCCGAAGATTTCACATTGGTCCCACGTATACAAATACAACAGTTTTGCATGATATAGCAACTTTTGCCAGTACTTTCCTAAAGAAAATTCTGTAATATTTAGCTTTACTGTGTACTTTACGGCGAATGAAGCATTCAGTTGAAAAGTTGTGAACAAGTGAAGACATAAGCTAAAGAATTAAATTTAGCATCTTTTGCTTTTATTCAAGAAGAATTGTAGCCATCTGCGATGGATAGTTTGTAGCTGAGCACAACAAAATAAAGCAATTTTGCCATACTAAAATAATTATTATTTTCCAAATGAAAAAATATCTATGCGTAATTTTGTTTTTATAGTAATTAATTAATTATACATTTTTAAGTATTACACACAACAATACCATTTTCTTTTAAAGTTGATAAAATTCTAATCATTTAAATTTTGTTCCATCTTATCTTAGCTTTAATTTCATCCATTTCTTCATTTTTGTTGATCAATAAATACAAATATTAAAAGTTGAAATATTGTTTTACAGCTGAGAAAAACTCCAATGAAAAGTAATTTTTAATTTTTTAAGTACTAATTGGACTCATTTCGAATTCAACATAAATTTCTGATAGTTTTGTTCTTTCAGCAAATTTCAGCCATATGATTAGCGTTCTATCTCTTAAATTGCTTTTTTATTTTGAACTGCTAAAATGCTAAAGTTTCGAGTGAGACATGGAGGACAATTTGATTCACCCATGTGACATTCATGGCCATTTTATTGGATTAAGTGCAATGATAGAATGACCTTTGTCACTACTCCAAGCAGATTGAGAATCGAAGTTCAGTCGTTATCGCTATATTCTGATTCCTCTAGTTCTGTTATTAATAATATACCTGTATTACAATAGAGGTATTAATTAAAGCCAAATTCTTTGCATCGGAAAATTAAAAATTTTTACATATTATTGTAGCAATTGGAGGCGCAATTTCCCCATTTGAGCCATTTAGGATTTATAAATACCAAAGAAATTTATTTCATTGAAAAAAACGCATACTTTAAAAGAAACTGAATTTTGGAATAATTTTGAGTTTTTGCTTAGGATTAAAAAGCATATGTGATTAGTAAATATAACATTTAAGAGTAAGAAACTCTCTGACTACTTATGATGAACTTGTTAGCATAATCTTTAAGTAATCCCATGGGTAAAATTTAATACTTACTCAAACTTTCCACTCCTCTTCCTTTTTTCTTTACCATCCAATCTTTTCCTCACTTTCATCTTTTAAATAACAAAATATCTTAAATTTATATACATTTAAAACATACGTAAACTTCCAAATTTCATTCTTTTCGTTCCAGTAAAACAGCTATGTTTGAATAAATTTTAGTTTTATTATGCTAGGTTTAATTTCTGTCTTTCTGTTTTTTAAATTTACTTTTCCACTGCTTATGCTTTGCTATTATAATGTGTGTTGATTCAAATTATAGATCTGTTTGGTGTTCTTTTAGTTATTTCCAATAATTGAATATCTAATTTAACTATTTCCAATTATAACTGAAAAAAGAATTCGTTTTTTTTTTTAAAATTTCCTCTTTTCCTTTTCAAAATTATATTTCAGTGTTTCATTTGTCGAAAATTTTGAAAAAAGCTTTGAAGTTATTAAGTTGACAAATAATCTTAGCAAATATTTAAAAAGAATTCAATAGCCATTGCTAATATCAAAAGACATTTTGCTCTTTCCCTCCTTTCGATCATAAAATGGCAACACAAGCAGTGATCACCACTGATCACTGATAATCAATAATAATTGCTAATCGCTTCCAATCAGTGATTCCTATTTCTGCTCAACAATTTACGCTTTTTTTGTTTCACTTTATTGATCAAATTTAATTCAATTTCGCTCATTTTAAATTTTTATCATCGTTCCATTTAATAATGCAAATGAATACAAATGAGACATAGACTAATGCACGTTTGAGCCACGTAAAAATAAGACAGATAAAGACATGCCTAAAGCACGTAAGAATGACATAAAGGCCAAGGCATGTTTAAGGCACGTAAGGATGACATAAAGCTAAGGCATGTTTAAGGCACGTAAGGATGACATAAAGCTAAGGCATGTTTAAGGCACGTAAAGATGACATAAAGCCAAGGCATGTTTAAGGCACGTAGGGATGACATAAAGCCAAGGCATGTTTAAGGCACGTAAGGATGACATAAAGCCGAGGCATGTTTAAGGCACGTAAAGATGACATAAAGCCAAGGCATGTTTAAGGCACGTAAAGATGACATAAAGCCAAGGCATGTTTAAGGCACGTAAAGATGACATAAAGCCAAGGCATGTTTAAGGCACGTAAAGATGACATAAAGCCAAGGCATGTTTAAGGCACGTAAAGATGACATAAAGCCAAGGCATGTTTAAGGCACGTAAAGATGACATAAAGCCAAGGCATGTTTAAGGCACGTAAGGATGACATAAAGCCAAGGCATGTTTAAGGCACGTAAAGATGACATAAAGCCAAGGCATGTTTAAGGCACGTAAAGATGACATAAAGCCAAGGCATGTTTAAGGCACGTAAAGATGACATAAAGCCAAGGCATGTTTAAGGCACGTAAAGATGACATAAAGCCAAGGCATGTTTAAGGCACGTAAAGATGACATAAAGCCAAGGCATGTTTAAGGCACGTAAGGATGACATAAAGCCAAGGCATGTTTAAGGCACGTAAAGATGACATAAAGCCAAGGCATGTTTAAGGCACGTAAAGATGACATAAAGCCAAGGCATGCTAGGACACATCGAAATGCATTTTGGTTAATTAATAATCACTTACCGATTGTTGAAGTAATGTTTTTATTTTATTAATCATTCAAAATTGTTTCTTATTTGGAATTAATCATTGACCATTCAAACATTTTTCTTTTCAAATTAGAAATACTTTTGAGCATTTTATTAATACATTCTTTGATTTTGGCAGAAAAATTAAGCTATGCTAATGCACATAAGAAGTTAGGTTAATTCGATTAAATTCTAATTAATGTAATTTAGTTTAGCTTAATTTCACTCAAATAAAATTAGTCCAATGAGTACTCTTAAATTTATTTACTATTTTGATTTTATTTACAGAATTCAAGGACAAATTGAAAAAGGTAAACTTTCCTGTTTTCTTTTAATAGCATTTGATACAATTTCAAAAAAATAATGCGTATACATTATATGCTGTATCCACGTAAAGTAACAATTGCGCGTGCGTGACCCGCGTGAACTCGGAAATAGCAAATTAAATGAAAGTGAAAATCTTTCATTTTACTTTCACTTTTCATTCATTACTGAAAGAAGTTCTCTTGATCATAATAGTAATATGATTAGAACAAATTTGCTTCATTTCCATATTTTTTAAACTGAAATAAATCTTTGACTCAAATGTAAGTTAAAATGTAATTTAGTAGTGTAAATCATTTTTTCTAATTGCAAAGAAAGGAAAAAATGTTGATTTTTCACTTTAAACCACTAATTTTTCCATCCATAAAAGTTAAAATTAAAAAATTTTCATTTTTTTTTTTAAATTTCTATCTCTCACTTATAATTTTATATTATTTATATTAGTAAAAGTAATAATAGTTAAAAAAAAAAGTAGCAATAACATATGCAAAGTTATTGCTAATACTCAAAAAACATAAAACTCACGCATATTTGACATGGAAATTTAATCAAATCTCTTTGCTCTCAATAAATTATCAATGTCACCAAGTTCTTTCCCTCTCTCTCCTATCCATTATCCTTCCTTTTTTCTCTCTCTCTCCTTCTCTCTCTCTCTCTCTCATTACTTCTGTCAACACATCTCTTTCCATACTTATTTTTAAATTTTTTCAATTTTGAAATTTGTAATTTTGAAATTTAAATTTATTGATTATTTTCCAAGTTATGTTTGTATTAAATACTTTACTGTATTGGGCAATCAATCATCAGTAATACTTAAACGACCAAAAGTATATGAGGGATCGCTTATGAAGTGTCACATCATAATGTCACCATTTCTGTGACTGTCCTCCATGAATAACAGAAGAAAACAAGGCGACAATTATTTTTTGCAACTTATTTTTGCTTCTTTTTCCCTCTATCATCCCACTATCAAGCAAATTACCTCTGTTACTATTTGTTAAAATGCTTATGAATATAATCAATTTATTAAAATGAAATTAAAAGAAAAATTAATGGTAGTGAAATAAAACTTTTCTCATAAAAAGTAGCACTAGTTGAAGCTTAAATAGTAGTTTAAAAGTGATATGAAATTAGTGGAATTATAGGATTATAAATTCAAGCTATTATTTTTAATGTTAAATGGTTATTCATTAGTTATTCATAAATTAATTCAGTAAAAATTAATAGTAGTTTGAAAAGTTTTCTTTAAATAATCTCAATTAAAAAAGTAGTTTGCAGATTTTTAAGAAATTTCAAAAGAAGAAATTAAAAAAAAAAAGTTTGCTGATTTAAGTGAAAATAAAAAAATCATTTAGAAGTATCACATTATTGGCATCTTTCTTGTATATTTTAAACGATCAAAATAACTATCTTATAATATAACAACAATTTTATTTATGATTTATTATTTTAATAAATTTGAGATATCATGCAAAGAGGTATTTATGATCCATCAAATAAAAATTTTTTATTTTTGTTATTCAAAATTTCGCTACTTTCATCTCAGATTCTAGCATTTCTCTTTTTTGCTCATCGTTGTCACCCATATGTCTCTACTCGATCAATCGTTGACAAACTCATCAAATCAAAACAAACTTTCAATATCTCATTTCCATCGCTTCTTTTTTTTTTATATTTCACATTTGCCAATATATTATTATTACTATTATTCTGCGTTCGCACATATATATCATAAATTATGACAAAAAACAGAAAAATTATTTTGTTGAAAGACTCCCAATCGTCTGTTCC